ACGAACGTCAACAATACTTCTGACTGCAGTTCAATTACTCACTGTCTACACACACATTACATTATATCTGCCCGCGTCACGTTTTCCCCCTCTTATATATACCCGCCTACCCTATCTAGTAAATACTAGAGCATTCCTGAAAGAACAAGATAGTTCTAGAAACTAGAGGGCGCCACACCAGTCACGTGACTCGCTGACGCAACAATATTATTTGTCAAGGTAACACAAGATGTAATAAAATAAATTACTGGTTAAGGTAAAACATACGTATGACATATTGTGTAAGGTTGGTTGTTATTTTAAATTTTACCTGATCATCAATTCACTACAAAAACTTACACGTTGATGGTCAAAAATGTGCGTAAGGAAAAAATAAACTAAAAGCTGAAGCGAAAGACTAAACCAGTTATTGCGAAATAATTACTAAAGCAACAGAATAATCATGAATCAGTACTTATTTTAGTATCATTTATCGCGAAATATATATATTTAGTGGTTTCATTAAAAAATAGAATTAAACTGAAAAATTAAACCAACCCTGTTTTTTTTTTAGTTATTTGTGTAAACCTTTGCGAATATGTCACTAAGATGAGATCATCAAGCAGGCATAATTTTTTGTTCTAGTTCCTAGTTAAATCATAAACTATATTTTGATAAAAGTTCACAAAAACGACCTTTACACTCAATAAATATTCTTTTATATTTATCTGGAGTGTAAAGGTAATTTTTTCTAAACTTTTATCAAAATGTGTGAATCCTTCCAGCATGCACTACAAATTTTGAAAGTCATCATAAAACATATCTTAAAACGTGTTGATGGAAGTCTATCTGTGTCTTTAGCCGTTTAATTTCAAAATTCAAGTTAAATTCACATTGTAAACAGCCGTTCTGGCGCTATCTTAGGAGTAGGGTATGTCATCAAATATTTAGTGATTACACAAAAGTAAAAATAAAACCAATCTTATTCTTGATAAAATGTTTTTATGTTTCTATATCTGAAACTTTAAGTCTAAGTAATTTCATTTTCAGGGCTGGAATATTTTACACCTTATTTGTCGTTGACTGTCGCCGTTATTTACCTTGGTTGAAAAACAGGTAACTATATAGGAAATACAATACCAATATTTTATATAAATTTCTCTCTGACATAATATTGAAATATTGAACAAAGTTTATATTAAATTATTATAATTTCGCAGTTTATACAGTTTTATGTGTGTTAATTTTTTAATAAGTAATGAATGTTGGTCTGTCTGAGACCGCAATATGACAATAGGATATTCTAATTTGAATATTTATGGCAACTAAACATCACAGAATATATTTGTGCCCTTGGTTGCTATAAGTATATTGACCTTGAGATATATATTTAAGTACACTTGCTAAGATAAGTTATTTCGTAGGGACCCCAAATGCCATCATTTTGATCACACTTGAGATAAACTACGTTCAATATCATTGTTTAAATTGACAAAGGATACAATACATAAATCAGTTCTACTTTACCTGGTTCGGCATTGCCTGTGACGCATTACAGTCTTATTCACAGTTCTTATGAACTTTTCTAACCATTATTATGGTCTTTCTATTCCAATATCATAAGAGTTGTATTTAGGGAAATTTTTTCGTCATTAAAAATGGATAAAATAAAATCAACTGACCATATTCTAACTTGAGACTTAATATACCTTAATATACGAGTGTTTCTAAATTTATTATATTTTAGTGTGAGACCAACTTATAAAAATTAATAATTTTCCATGCTGAAGAGCGTTCGAGATATGCTCGACTGAGTTCATTTCTGGAACTGACCATTCCATAAGACACTAGTCTATTTCTTAAAGAACACCTCCACTACCCGTCTACAGTGCAGTATGGGTAATATTACCATTCATAAAGACGAAGTTATCACCAATGATGTTGGTGTAAAGTTTTATGTAAATGTATATGACGTCACCCCTTCATTCCTGTACTGTACAGCCGTCAAGTAGCCATGCTGTGAGCTCAGTTTTCCTGTTGAAGTTGATGCTGCTACCAACCATAATGAACTCACTGTCTTACAGGCCACTTCAGCTATGTTGCCACTCTCAATATCGACCGCAAACTTTGGCACGATGCTCTGTAAAGTCAAAACAAAACCTGCAGTCATCGCTCAGCGGAGTTCGGGTTCGAAACGTGGTTATATCAAGCACGTTTCACAATTTCAGCTGATAGTAAATCTCGCTATTCATTTGAGAGTAGCCGTTCCAGGCGACGGTTGCTGCTGACTGGTTGTCTTTACTCTGATCCGCAGTTCAAAAGTAGAAACGGCTGTACTTGAACTTTATGGTATTCCAACCTGACCATTCAGCCCACTGTGTACATATGGTATCGTTCAGGTGAAAAAACAGACCATTCTAAAATTTCAAAACATAATACAAGATGTATAGGTGCAACTGGAAATTCAAGATCAGTGTTAAAGTTCTACCCTCTATCTGCTGACACGTATTTAGACAGGGTAAAGAACAGCAGATTCATCAAACTGTATAAGAAATATTGACATATACAACAAAAACTAAGGTTATGGGAGACATTACTTACCATAATTATAAACTTCTCATTAAATTACAAACTCAAAAATATTTCGAACTCTACTTTCTGCATCACTTTCATAAATACTTCTTGTTTTCTCCATCTAGGATCGAACTTAGAGGCGGAAAAATACGATGTAGTAATATCAAAAGTTGTGAAGAGGTAGGTAATAAATATTGGTTGTTTAAAGTTATGCTTATATGTTTAAATGTTAGGTTCCTTTCAGTTGTGTTTCTTAGAATTTATATATTGAAGTCTTTATGAGCTTGAGTTTTAGTTTCAGAGGTACAGCTTGTTCTTTGTTGTTGACCTTTGGTCTTTTAAGTTGAATGATGATGGTTTCCAACGTACAGAGACCACTTTCATTATGGCTCGTAAAATAATTTTGAATTGCTGCTTGACTGGATAAATATCACTGTACTCCAGCATTCTCAACGCGTGTTTGTTGCAGTTAGTAGGGTACTGGGTTTTAAATTCTGATGTTCCTTGTATCTCCCCAGAAGCCTCCTGGCTGTTTAACCAATGTATTCAGGCTTGCAACTTGGGTATGCGTAGAGAAATACCAAAACAAAACCTCTTCTTAAGGGTAAACATGAATCTTAGTCTGTTTTGTAATTTAAAGATTAGTTAAGCTGTACCTATGCATAATTTCTATGAAGTATTTTCTTAATTTCATTTTTTTATGTTATTAATCGTAATATACTTATATTCTATATGCACGTCCAAGTTGCAAACTTGAGTACATTGGTCCCATCACCAGGAGGCTTCAGCAGAGATACTAAGAATAAGGGAATTTATAAATACAGTACAACACTAGCATCAGCGAATACACAGTTGAGTGCATTGATACTTACCCATTCAAGCAGAAATTTAAGATAATTTTAGAAGACACCAATAAAAGTGACCTACGCATATTGGAAATCATAGCCATTCGGCTTATAATTTATATGAATAGTAATTATAGAGCAAATATTCATATTATAATACGAAACTGGAAATGAATTGTGTTTTAGAAAATTGCAGACATCGACAAAACTTGAATATTAACATAAAATACTCAACCCATCCACGTCAGATAATCTAAAGTTCTTAGTACTGGCCTATCATTCAGCAAGAATTAGAAAAAAATAATGTTTAAACTTTAACATGAAAGTTATAAAAATTAAACAATTAATCACGTAAAGTAGTGGAAGGTTAAACATAATTACAGTTTTAAAAAAAATGTTTCACGCTTTCACATATTGTACTTTAAAGCATCCTTCGAAATTAGAACTATTAGTTACTTTTTTATTCTAAGAATAACTGTACTATAGATAATAGTTATTTTTGATTTTAGTAATGATTGTATTCTAACTATTACTTTTTAGCTTAGGAATATCTGTATTATTACTATTAGTTATATTCATCCTACGAGAAACCTTATTATAACTATTAATTGCTTTTATATCCTAGGAATAGCTGTATTATAACTATTTGTTATTTTTTTTATTCTGATGATAACCTTATTATAACTATTAGTTATTTTTATATCTTAGGAATAAACTTATTATAACTATTAGTTATTTTATTATTCTGGGGGTAACTTATTATAACTATTAATTACTTTTTGATCCTAGGAATAACTGTATTATCATAATCATTCTTAGCTATTTTCAGTTCTGAAGTAGGTAATAAGGCAGGTGCTGTACATATATGAATGTGTAACGTTTTATTGGTTAGGATCAGCTGACGAAATTAATTATTTTTATTTGCAGCTCGCTGGGCAGTTTGATGTTCTGGTCAACTGTACAGGAATGGGGTCGAAGCATCTGTTCGGTGACAAATACTTGACACCGGTGCGCGGACAAGTAATCAAGGTAGTTCTATGACACTTTTGTTGACTTAGAAGGTGGAGCAGTGGATAGAAAAAAGTAATTTTACTACAGATTTCATAAACATAAACTGTAAAACGACATGATATTTCTGTAAAAATACGAGTTATCAGTTCCATATTAAATCATGCACAATTTGGAAAGGTAGTTGTTGTTTGACAGACTTCGAATAATCATCTCTGTCAGAAATGTTAATTACCACGATGCTCCATAATTTGTATGTTTTAATCCATCTCGGTAATAAAAATTTTACTCAAATGACGTTCCATAATTTGTGTATTTTAAGTCATCTGGGTCAGAAATGCTACTTACGATGGCCCCCCAGTGGCACAGCGGTGTGTCTGCGGACTTACAAAGCTATAAACCGGGTTTCGATACCCGTGGTAGGCAGAGCACAGATAGCCCATTGTGTAGCTTTGTGCTTAACTTAAAAACAAACAAACAATACTTACGATGACGTTCCATAATTTGTGTATTTTAAGTCATTTGGGTCAGAAATGTTACTAACGATGATGTTCCATAGTAATTTGTGCGTATTGATTCCAATCTCTTACATTCTCAGTTAAAGATCTGGACAAATGATCCCTTAGACTCAGCTGTTTACGTCAGATGTAGTTTATTCATATCTTCTTGTAGTTATCGTTTTTTGTTGTGTTTTTTCACCAAGACTGAATTCCTCGGTGTACAGTTTAATTTTATTTGCATGTCGTGAAGTTTTTAACCATGTTTTTCAATTCTAAAATTTTAATTTCTTTTTTTACACTACTTATTAGGTGTCAGCTCCATGGATCAAGCATTTTTATTTTGCAGAACACACTTACGTCATTCCAGGGTAAGTATTTAACAAAATAAATCTGTTTGGAAACACAGAATATATTAACTATGAATCACTTGCGACCTCCTAATAGTCGTAGTGGATTTCGAAATATAAAATGTTCCATTGTATTAAGTTTAGACGAAAACATTTCCTATGTTTCGTAAAGCCTTCCAAGCTTCTACGGGTAACTAAGTAACTGTTTGCTACATTTATATGTGTATTTGTACGTAATTATCTTTACGTAATAATTCACTCAGTATACACGCAATTGCTAGCTAATTGAATAAGAATATCCACAAGAAAAGGTAAGGTTAGGTTATATAACAACTAATAAGACCAAACTGTATATTTCAAACACACTTTATACATAAATGATAATAAATGTACAAATAAAGACATTGGAGATACATATTAGTGAAAAATTATATACACTTATACAATATAGAAAAAAAAAGTATATATATATAATATAGAAAAAAGAATAAGTGATAAAATAAAACAGCGAAAATACTGGAGTTAGAATGTCAGTACAACGCGATTCTATTGTTCTGTTTATAATTCAGAATTGATAGTTACTGATGGTTGTTCAAGTTGTAAAATGAATATATTTGATACTGTGTTGACATTTTTAAAAGTATTTTGTTTTATGTTGCAGAGTGGAATAAAAAATGGAAATGAGTGAGTTCAAAGAGTGGAAAATATAAAAATATCCTAAGGGTGTAACCTATGAAAATGAAAACAATGGAGAATTTAATAGATCTGAAGTGAATCTTGTTAATGGTGATAAAAACAAATAGGTGTATATTAAATTGATTGAAAAATTTGATCAGTTAGTTAAAAAAAGATATATATAAAAAATATTTGAAGATATTAATAAGGGATTACGAATGATTCAAGTGTCTATAGCTGAAACAAAAAATAATTTCCAACTAATTAAAACATTTGAGGAAGTACAAGAATCAATGTCAATGTGTGAGTTTTCTGCAAATCATGAAATAATTAGTATTGAAGCTAAACAACTGAAAAAAAAATTACCAAGCGAAAATTAAACATATATGAATAGAAATGTTGAAGGTATTTCTTTACATAAACGACAAACCTTCAACAATAGTTTAGGTTAATAAACCTTCAACAATAGTTTCGGTTAATAAACCTTCGACAATAGTTTCGGTTAATAAACCTTCAGCAATAGTTTCGGTTAACAAAATTTCAACAGTAGTTTCGGTCAATAAACCTTCAACAATAGTTTCGATTAACAAACCTTCAACAGTAGTTTCGGTTAATAAACCTTCGACAATAGTTTCGATTAATAAACCCTCAACAATAGTTTCGGTTAACAAACCTTCAACAGTAGTTTCGGTTAATAAACCTTCAACAATAGTTTCGGTTAACAAACCTTCAACAGTAGTTTCGGTTAATAAACCTTCAACAATAGTTTCGGTTAACAAACCTTCAACAGTAGTTTCGGTTAATAAACATGGAAATTCCTAAAACCACTTTTCGTAGAGCGAGTTGTAGCAGTGATAATGTTCCATTTGATAAAAAACAAAGACTGCTGCTCATAAAGTTCCATCTTATAATAAAAACAAATCATACTGATCATTGTACGATTTGCTTCGGCACAAAGCAAGGAAAACTGGATTCAAGACTAATGCAAGTTAAGAACATGCCGTGATATTAATACAATAAAGAAGCAACTAGGGATACACACTTTAATTTAGCAGATGGCAAAGTATATCATTGGGTGATAATCTTTAACTTTGAATACAGAAAAAATAAAATAACTCACATTTTCAGGTAATGTAATTAGACAACCGCTATACAAATTAAGCATAAATTCTGTACATAGTAATACAATATATTTCAATCATCCCAATTTAAGTGTAGTGACGACAATTGGCTATTTAAATGTTATAATAGCTAATAATCTTAAATGGGATAAATATGTTGATTATCTTTGCTCTACGATTAGAAAATTTATATGCACATTAAAACAACTAAGAAGCGTGTATACTTTTAACTTTTTAAAGTTGATATATTATGCATTTATTCGTTCAATGCTTGAATATGGCATATTGATGGGGAATTATATTCAAATAGCACTGTTTAAAGTAGAAAATATTATTATCAAAATTATTCTAAATCGTCCTATAAATTACCCTACAAATCTTTTTAGAAAGTTTAAACATAGGTATTTTTATGTGGGCAATTATATTTCAGATATTTCGATAATTGCAGTCATGGAGAAAACAACTTAACTTCAGAAGCATGTTTCCCATTGGCAACTCACATTTTGGAAAAATTAAAATTAATAATTTTAAGATATAAAATAGTTGTTATGATAATTATTAAATGTCAAGTAATAAAGTCTTGATACACAGCCTCCCAGAGCCACAGCGGTATGTCTGTGGACCTAAAACGCTAGAATCCGGGTTTCGATACCCGTTGTGAGCAGAGCACAGATAGACCTTTGTATAGCTTTGTACTTAATTACAAACAAACTTGATACACAAATAATTTCAAAATTCATTATGTGAAACAAATAATTAAGCTTATCTTATAAATATTTGCAAAAAATTTTCTATACGAAAATAAATTGTTAATAACGTTCCATGAAAAAAAAAATGCAGTATTGTGAATAAAATCTATAACAAGTACCATGATGGTTCGTATTAGCACAAAGAATCGTGATTAGTATATCATCTAAATCGAAAGAAAATTTTATTGTCTCTATCAAAGTAACTTCTTATACTCATTAAAGGCGATTTAATTGCTACTGTGTAACGCTATATTAACCTCATAATTTCTCAGATATTCCTCTGAGGTGAACATTTTTAAGCTTCATAATTTTTCGTTGAAATGAAAATTAAATTTTGCTAATTCCTTAGGACTGATTACGTAACACTTGGAGGTACTAAAGGACTAGGCAATTGGAGAACTGACTTGTCTTCTCATGACCGACAGTCCATTTGGGAAAGATGTATCCGCCTTGTACCCAGTCTTGAGGTACTTAACTTATAGTTGATTAGATGTAGATATATAAATGTGATTAAATATATATATTTATATGCTATGCTGTCAGGTTTCATAAAGTAATAATTTGTAAAAAGGCGTTCTTATAAAAGATAAAATGAGCAAGTCATCTTACAATAAGTGTGTAGTTTTTCTTAGCATGTAGTAAATTAAACTTACGAATAATATGAGGCAATGCGTCTTCGGCAATGGATGTGACAGGTACAATATGATTGAAATACTGTTACACACTCTTCTTCTTGAAAACCCCCAAAAGTCTGAATAAAGAATATGGTGTTACAAAATATAATAGACCTAATAGTAATGTCTGATAACAAATGTAATTAATTATAATTATGCTTTGCCAGTTTAGAAAAGAAGTTCATATCATAGCAATTGTTTGTATAAAGAGTTTTGTTCTTGGTAAGCTAAAACAAGATAAAGCAAACTTTAAACAAAATTTTAGGTATCGACATGTTACTTAGGTTACGACCTCTTCTTCAACTTGCATATAAACTAACTTGTATTTAAGTGATATACATATATTAAGTCATAATATTACTTACATTATTAAATTTTTATTAACCATTCTCTCTTTTTTTTTTTTCAAAAACAATTTTAATTTAAATAGTTCATGTCACAGTGCTGATGACTCATTGTTGCTGCAATGATGTTTGTACATAAACGTTGTGAGTTTGTGCACGACGATAATGTTGATATTTCAAAAATAAGTTAATTTAGTTCACCAAG